AGGCCAATGTGTTGTGATGCACTTCAAGTGGCTTCTACATGTGAGGATTTCATTGCAGGTATTGATAGGGCCTATGCGCGTGATATAGAGGTAACCCTTGATAAATTTGGCCATCAGACCCGTTTTGATGCAGTATAGTCCCTTAAATCAACTTGAGTATATCAACATGTATCGTAACTTAGATAGAGTTAGAAAAGATATATAGATGCTGTTTCATAGATTATATGACTATTTAAAGGACCTATACGTGACTCTACAACAAACATTGTATTAACCTATAAGTTGTGATAATCTATGTGATTCGGCTTCTACTAAATCGTATGAGTTATGACAGCTTTGACTGTATGTACATTTGTTACATTTTAAGATAATCAAAAGAGAGCAAGCAGCACATGGGATAATGCATATTAGCAGAAAGAGAAAAATACTGTATTAACTTTCAAGTTACAATATTATTTATAAATACCTACTTCAAATTTGAAGACATAAATATTTCAAGTTAAAAAATGGAAGTGCAAAGAAATGAATAATATGCAAAATGTAAAAATGACTTATTTATATAATAAAATAAGGTTTTGAATATAGTGAAACTAGAAGACAAGGATAAATGTAAGTGTTTTTATGATAAAACACTGGGAAGTTAGGCTCACTGGAATGTTTTCCTTGGTTTAATCTCAATTGTATAACAGTTGAAAAAAAAAGGTAAATACAAAATGAATTTCAGAAAACTTGAAATGCCACCTACCCGGATTGAACGAATGACCTTCGCATGTGAAGACATCTGGGAATGATGCAGTACAAGTGCGACGCGCTACCACTACGCCAAGGCGGCTTTACGTAAACCCAACAGCCTTTGTGTAATCATGGTTGTAGGTGTTTTTATGATAAAAGATTGGGAAGTTAGGCTCACTGGAATGTTTTCCTTGGCTTAATCTCAATTGTATAACAGTAGAAAAAAAGGGTAAATACAAAAACAATCTCATAGAACTGGAAATGCCGCCTACCCGGATTGAACGAATGACCTTCGCATTACTACAAACCTCGAAAGGTTTGTACAAGTGCGACGCGCTACCACTACGCCAAGGCGCCTTTCTCCCACTGATGAACATGTCTCCAATCGAAATAGAGGGAGACCTGAAATTACGTAGCTAAAGAGCGGCGCAAAATCTGAATTGATGGCGTCTGCCGCGTACCCGGATTGAACGAGTGACCTTCTCATGTGCATCGAAAACTCCCAATACGAGTGAGACGCGCTACCACTACGCCAACGCGGCTTGTGTTTTCTCTACGAAGGCGTGGAGAGTGGGGAGGAAGGGAGGGAGTTTCGGGCACTCGGATTTTTTTTTTTTGGCAGGGGTGGGTAGCGCGTTGGAATGAAACCATGGAGAACCAACGATGCAGGGGGTGGCGCAGCGTGCCATCGAACATGCCTGTTCATGATACTACGGGGGG